GGCACTGGGCTGGCCACAAAAGAATTCCTCTGGATTGGGAAAGGCAGTGAGAGAGACCAACTCCATTCTCCCTGTTCCAGCATGAGAGGGACTCAAAGCTAAAACTATAGGAGCCGCTGCAGCAGTGACAGTTTAAGTTCTCATGTCTGTTTGCTCTGGTGTCCAGGGAGAGAGGAAAAGAGTTGCGTTCTGATTTGGTTTTTAGTTCTCGTGAAGAAATTATGGGCGTTTTGAGTCCCTGGAGCTGTGATTCCGGAGGGAAATCTGTTTAGTTTAGGCTTGGCTGGCCCTTTAAACCTTCATTTTCTTTCTCCCTTCTCACCAACAGCATAGGAGGAGATGAGAACATCAGGACAGTGATCACCCTGGCCAGTGAGTTCCTTGGTGTTTTGGGGGCGGGGTGGCTACGCCTAAGCTCACTGCGCCCCCTACTGGCGGCCGCCAGCCTCGCAAGGCAGCAGGACGCACCTGCGTGCAGTAGGGGGCACTGCTTCCCCGTGGCTGCCATCCAGGCTCGGTTCCTGAGCTAATCAAAGCCTTGGAGGGTTTTGTCAGCTTTTTAGTGCTTTTCATCAGGAAGACGTCTTTATCCAATAAACGAGTAAGAAAAGGAAAGAGAGCTTAGACCAAATCTTAGGACAATCATTTAAAAGTGATCTGATAAAGAAGGGTTGGACCGCCGTTCTGGACTCAGAGCCTATCTGGGGAGCTCTCCACCTAGGCCTGGGAGGCGTGGGCATCTCTGTTCACAAGGACCTTGCTGTATGAACCCGTAGTAATTGCAGCATTGAGAGATGAAGTTACCTTGCTCAGGCTCATATTTGGGGCTCAACATTTTCCTTAAGGCTTTGCCAACAACCCACTCAGATTATTTTTTTTAAAGACTGGCTACATTTTTCTGAGAGGGGGGCCTACCTTTAATCTTTTGGGCTGTGGCTATGGGTAATGCTTTCCATTATGCCACTTGATTCATTATCTTTAGTGCTGCCCACCCCAGTGTTTATTCTTAAAGTGCACTTTAAAAAAAAAGGCATTAGACAATATTTATAGTGAATTATTTTCTTCTTAGATACCCCTAAGAATTTTGCCCGGGGAGGGGGGATAGGGGTTGGTTGGTTTCATTCTTACTACTTTTTCAGGTACGTATCTTGAGCTAAGGCACTGAGTTTTAAGCTAGCAAGGCTAGACAGTAGGGATACTGAAAGTCCACACTGGCACGCCTGATTCGACTTCATGCCTGTTATCTATTTTAGTTCCTGGAAAACCGTGCTGAATTTAAATAAGTACAGTTCCGTGTCATGAGTACTTCCTGTCCCCTGTTGCTAGGAGGTGACTTAGGCTGCTTCTGAGAGTGTGATGATCTTGGCTTTGAGGTGGCCTGGCAAGATGGCTGGACGTCATATTGTTCCAAGAACATCCACCAAAGTGCTTTACAAATGTCTGAGACCGTGTCACCTCTCAGGCGGCCTCCCCTGACACACTTAGCTTATCTGTTCAGCCTTCTTTCCTAGCGGGAGGAGATTCGGGGTAAATAGGTGTGTGGAATTGACTTCCAGTGCAAGGTCAGGACATACCCCCATCCAGTGCAAGGTCAGGACGTACCCCCATCCAGTGCAAGGTCAGGACGTACCCCCATCCAGTGCCCGGCTCGAGTTAACCCAGCAGGTGCTCCAGTACAGGGTGTGGGGGAGACACAACTCTGCCCCCATGGCATCTGCCACTCTTCAGCGCAGGGCATGCCACCCTAAAGACAGACGCAAGCACTGATGATCAGCAAGCATGGATGAAGAGGTCCGCAATGTGGGGGGAAGTCAGCAAGGACGTCGAGACGTAGGGGGACCAGAAATCAGAAGGGAGAGTCTCGGTGAAATCAGGTTCTGTAAAGCAAAGTGTTGCCAATAGCTATAACCATAAAGAATATAAGGGATGGAGGACAAGGTTGATGAAATCTTTGATCAAATAGCAATTAAAAAAAACAGTATGACCATAATGTCTAGGATCTCTAGGATATGATCAAGAGACCAAACCTAAGAACAGATAAAATAAGCTGGATGAGCCAGGCAGTGGTGGCACACACCATTAATCCCAGCACTTGGGAGGCAGAGGCAGGCAGATCTCTGTGAGTTCAAGGCCAGCCTGCTGTACAGAGTGGGAGTTTGAGGTCAGCCTGGTCTATAGAGTGAATTCCAGGAGAGCTAGGGCTGTTATACAGAAAAACCCTATCTCGAGAAACAAAATAGAAAGAAAGAAAGAAAGAAAGAAAGAAAGAAAAAAAGAAAGGAAGGAAGGAAGGAGGAAAGAAGGAAAGAAAGAAAAAGAATGGATAAGATAGGAGAGATAAATACTAAAGGAATACAAAATTATCCAATCTAATATATAGCATAAGGTTTCTCAAATCTAGAGAAAAATACTCAAGGATGAGACATTTAGAATCCAAAATCCACCTGACCCAAGAACCACAATGTATTATAGACAACATATCAAAAGTTAGAAAGTAAAGAAACAATATTAGCAGCTGTAAGGGGGACGTGCAAACTTGCTCACAAAAGGAAATACATCAGAATAATAACAGGTCTCATTAGCCACCATAAAAATCAGAAGAATGTGGAATTATATATTTTGAGCCCTGAAAGTAAAGGACTGCTGATCAAAATTGCTATTTCCAGCAAAACGCTCTCAAAATTGATGGAAAAGGGCATTTGAAGAAGAAAACGAGGAAATTAACTTTTAGGTGAAGAGAAAAGCCAGAATGGGACAGACTGACTAATGACTTCTACCAGACCTTTGAGGAAGAGCTAACAGTGGTCTTCTAACCATTCCATAAAGCAGGAACGCCTCCTACCTCACACTACACGGCAAGCATTGTCCCCACACCAACCCTGCTGAACACAGAGGAGCATAAAAAAGACCCATTTCCTTTGTGATTATAGATGCAAAAATTTTCAATTCTTGCAAATTAAATTTAGGAACACATTGAGACCATATGCAAGTCAGTTTCATTCCAGAGATACAAGGCTGCTTTGACATATACAAATTAGTAAGGACAGAAATCACATGATCATCTCAATAGATGCAGGAAAAGACATCAACAGCCTTTCATGATAAAAAACAAAACAAAACAAAACAAAACAAAAACCCTAAAGAAACAAGGACCTGATGGGAAAATCTTCAGTGCTGTGCCTGATAATGCAGACGTTCTCAACCTGTGGGTCGTAACCCCTGTGGGAGTTGAAGGACATTTCACAGGGGTCACCTAAAACCTTCCTGCATGTCAGCTCTCTACATTATGGTTCATAATAGTAGCAAATTTACAGTTATGAAGTAGCACCGAAAATAATGGTATGGTAGGGGTCAGCACAGCATGAGACATTCAAGGGTCACAGAGTTAGGGAGCTGAGGACCACTGCTGTAAAGTCTGGGGCACCCAACATTCTGTTCCGTGCTGGGCTGTGGTGCCGAGGCTATGCTCTGTCCTCCACAGAGTGGCCAAAGGAACTTGACAGTTGGCCATGTAATCCCAGCGCTCAAGAGGCTTCTGTAGGGAAATCACCAGTTCGAGGATAGCCTGGGCTATACCTAGGTGACCCTGTCACAAAGCAGTAAGAAAGGGGCTTGGGAAGATTGCTTTGGGACCATTGGTAAACATGTCCCTTGTCTTTCCAGACATCCTCCAGGAATTCAACCCCTCCTTGAAGGGCTTCTCTGTTGGCACTGGGAGAGAAACCTCGGCCAATGCATTCTTCAACCAGGCCGTGGCAGGAGCCAAAGCAGAGTGAGCCTGAGTGTCTTGGGGGGGGCGGGGAGTGCATGGTGGGGAGGGCAGAAGCAGGGGTGCCTGGCAGAGCTTGCCTTGGCCTGGATTTTAGTGTAGGTAGAGGGTCTTGATCTGGGTAAAGAGTCAGGGTGAACAGCTGGAACGGGCCGTCTTAGGAGTGTCCTTTGCTGTCAGACACACGAATCTAGCCATGGACACTCAACCCTGCTCTAGGAACCAAGGGAATTCCTCTGATGCCCTGCATGTATTTCATGTAGATCCCCTGGCCTCGTCTGTAAACCTTATTCCCTCACTAAGCAGTGACTGTAAATGGGCCCATGGGGAGTTCCCATTGTTCGCTTGCTACTATTGCTTTTGAGTCTTCTGCTCCTGGCCTTCCTTAAGGGGTCATTTTGGGCTCTGCACTCTCGAGGCTTTCCTGTGTCATAGGAAAAACACTGACACAGGAATCGAAGACCTGAGTGTCCGCCACATTTCTTACTTGGTCTCTACAAGAAACAAGACTATTGGAAGCCTCTTTTTCACAAACCATGGAGGTTGTGAGGTTGACACCATCTTGGAAGCAAAAGCTCTAAAGAGCTGTGCCCTTGCATGGATTGGGTGAGGATGGTGGTCTCAGCACTAATTCAGCCTGGCTGCTGGGCTCCCCTGAGGGAAGATGTAGGGACTCGGAGATCATGGTGCTGCTGACCTGACGATCCCTAACTAACAGATCAGTGTCCCTGGTCTTCCCCACCCCCATCCCTGCTTGCACACTATTCAAAGACTTGAGTGTTCCTCAGGGTCCTTTTCCTAGCCAATAACACACGAACACCGCATCCAATTAGGGAAACGTGCGAAAAAACCTTTTCTATTTTACCACAGTTTTTCTCCCAGATTCAGCACACATCACACTTCTTCACATGGGTCTGAAGATTTTGTTTTTTTTTTTTGTAGTTGCATCCCGAGATTCCCTGGTGATTTCCTAGCTCTCAAGGCTCTCCTGGAGCTGTCGGCCTCCTCTGAGTAACTTTCGCATTTATTCCCCATAGGAAAGACAGCTCATGCCAAGCCTAACAGGTTTGAGAATGACTTTGAAGGCCGCTTCTTTCTTTGCTGGCCATAGGGGTGAAAGGCTAGTGACCTGCCACTTCCAAGCCCAAACTGGCTTTAACATTTACAGAATTTCTCTTCAGCTGGTAGCGCCAGATGAAAGGCAGTTCTACCATGATTAGATCACGGAGACATGCAAGAGTGGACGGTCAGAGTCAAGGACCTGAGTGACCGCAGTAAGTGTGGCTCACATGGCCTTGAGTCTGTGGCCTCAGGAAAGACATTGGGTGGCAGAGAAAAGCAGGCGCAGGGAAGCTGTTCCCATATTATACACTTGAAACTACAGCACAAAAATATCTAGCCTGAACAGGTACAGCAAACTGACCCCAGGATCTGGCCTTGGGTCATACAGGCCTCATTTTCAGCTTGCTCACACCCTTTCCTGTATTCACAGCAGTGCCCACGTTATAGAATACCTTCATGGCTGGCATCCTTGTGTCCCACCATGTTACAGAATACCTTCATGGCTGGCATCCTTGTGTCCCACACAGCAGTGCCCACGTTACAGAATACCTTCATGGCTGGCATCCTTGTGTCCCACACAGCAACCCTAAGACGGACAACACAGAGGAATTATTGCCTGTGTTTTTACCAGTGACTCAAATCTAAGCCTGAGCCCTTGGAGTACCCATTCCAAACTCGGGTTCAAAGACAGAGGGGCTGCCCTGATAGCATCACATCCACAGATGAGAAGCAGGTTGAGGGACTGACTCCAAGGCCCCTCCCAGGTCTCTGACACCCAGTGTTCTGGGGCCAGGATCAGAACAATTGGGCCAGTAGTTAAGGCAGAGGGAGGACAGCGCATACTGCCTGGGCATGGTGCCGGAGGACCTTTGCAGGTGGTGAATGTGCTAGTGACAATGGAAATTACTCTAAGGACGCTTGCTTTGTGTTAGGCACTACATTCTTTATGTGACCCTCATTTGATTCTCTCAATGCCTGTAGAAGGCAAGGCACTGATTAGTTGTATAAAGGAAAGTACTGCGTTTGTCAGGTAAAGATTTCAGAGAAGTGGTCATGGGTAGACCTGGGAGTCCAACCCATGCTATCCAGCAGAATAGTAGCTCATATTCAAGGGGCTGCTGGAGTCTTATTTGCACCCACGATGACTTTCCATAAGCAAGGTTGATCTCCGTGTTACAGTTTTTCTTTTACAGTGAGGAGGAGGCTGTTCATGCTAAGCAAACACTCGGCCACTGAGCTTATTCCCAGCTCTGTCATCATTTTAAACTGAGATCACCTTGTCGGGAGGGAGGGCCATGGCGTCTGTTAACATAGGCTTGAGTTGAGCGGCACATGACATAAAACATTTACATGAGACCTATCTGCCTTGAACAAGCCTAGCTGGGAAGAGAAACTGGAAGTCTATCATTAAATACACCGACCTGATAAATAAACTCACTGAGAGTCAACCCCTCAAACGTGCAAGCGTCTGTCCTTCTCAGCTGTCAGTCCTCCCCAGCGGAGCCTGGGTCGAGAAGGAGCTCTGTGTGGTGGGGCTGCCCTGCCGACCCCCAAAGTTGACTGCCAGGTGCTACTGTCTGCTATGTTGCCCTCAGTCTCTGGTCCTCATTCAGCTCCTTACTGTGTGTTCCCACAGGGACTTAACTACCCAGGCCCAAAAGCTGGTGAGCCTGATGAGGGCAGACACGATGAGTCTGGGCACATCAGGTGGGACTCCCTAGAGCAGGAAGGTGGATCCACAGACACTGGGAAGTCAGTAGTAAGGTGAGAGGAGACGCATAGGATCCAGGTTTCTAGCAGATCTGAACCCTGTACCTCTGCTCCTTGGCAAATAGGGTTCCCGTTCACTATATTAGCCGGCTGTACACAGTAAACTTGTATTATCGGCCAAGGTCTGTAGATGCGTGAGGACAGTAAAACACAGTCCCATCCTCCAGTTTTTAAGAGGAAACGAACACTGAGGGATCAAGATCATAAAATAGCTGACTCGTGCTTTGTAAAGATAGTTACGTATTACAGAGCAGAGGAGGGGATGACGGGAACAGGTCCCCTGCTTGGGAGAATTCAGAAGGGAGGCAGGTGTTTGAGCTGGGTTCTAATAGATGAGTGTAAGATCCTCTCTCGGATAAGAGAGGGGCACAGGCTCCGTGCAGACCTGCTTAGGGAGGTGGTCTCAGGTGGATAAAATAACAAAAAGGGGGTCAAGATTGGTTATTTTTATGTGATGTAATGTACCCCCCAAAATTCCATCATCGGGAGAGTTTCAGAATGTGTCTCTTCTCAAGCTTCCCTGCATCTTGTCTCTCCCCTCCCATCGTTCTTCTTCCTCCTCATTTGGAAGCAGAAGCCAGAGAAGTGGAGCATGTGTGGGCCAGAGGCAATGTCAGAGGCTGTGAGTGCCGCAGAGACCTTTGGGCCGTGGTATGTGGAATGTATGTGCCCACATGCCGTCAAACACGTCTCTAGCTCTCCTGCAGGAGGGTGGAGTCTAGAGGCGGCAAACTCTCCTGGTCATGTTCTTGAACCGCTGTGTTGCTCTGACCAGCTATTAGCTGGGACTTTTCTTTCTTTCTTCCTTCCTTTCTTTTCTTTTCTGTTTTGGTCTTTCAAGACAGGGTTTCTCTATGTAGCTCTGACTGTCATGGAACGCTCTATAGACCAGGCTGCTCTCAAACTCAGAGATCCACCTGCCTCTGCATCCTTAGTGCTGGGACTAAAGGCATGACCCACTATGCTCAGCCCTAGCTGGAATTTTCACAGGTGCCTTAACTTTAATTTATCTGAGTTAGGAATGTTTCTTCTTAATGGAAGATGGTCTGTCTGCTGTGAAGCCAGTTGAAAACCGCAGAGTTTTAGAAGATTTAGAGCAACCTTCCCTTCCCAGGGCCAGGACCTATTTTCCTGTCTCCCACCTACTTCCTTGCCATGCTGAAGACTGAGAGCAAAACTCAGGGAGCTCCCGCTACGAGGGCAGTGGAAAACAGACCTACATCCTAGTGTGCGAACAAAAAGTCTGAGCTCTCTGCTGCATGGCGGAGCTGCCCCTTTGAGAGTTTCCAACTGGACCCTGTTGGTTTTCTATTCATTTCAGACAATAGACTTTGAGAACAACTGGAAGATAATCCCTGTCTTCATAGGAGGCAATGACCTCATTGACTATGTTATAAATCTGTACCACCGAGTGTCTGTTCCACGTGTCTGTCCAGAGCATGGGAAATCTGATACTAAGGAATGGCAGACTACCATAAAACATGGTGGGGAAGGTTCTCAGAAATAAAAATATTCTCTGTCTGGGCAGTGGTGGCTCACACCTGTAGTCCCAGCACTCAGGAGGCAGAAATAGAGGGACTCTCTTTGAGTTCGAGGCCAGCCTGGTCTATAAAGAGTTCTAGGACAGTGAAGGCTATTACACAGAGAAACCCTGTCTTGAAAAAAAAAAAGGAAGAAAGCAAAAGAAAAACAACGAAAAGTATTCTCTGAAAACCCTTGACCCAATTGACAAGAGACAGCACCCATCCTTATAAACACAGTTAAGGCCACCAGGAAAAGATGCGCTCATAACTCACTAATCAGAGTGAGTGTCTAATAGGGACCCCCAAACACGCTCGTGCCCAGGGATCACCAACCACACTCCACCCGAAGGATCACCAATACCTCTCCGTGCTCAGGGGTCATGAACTGGAGAACTGGTAGACTTCTGGGTTGTTCTTTCTCCCAGTTAGTGTCATTGCCTCCTTAGCCCGAGGGGCTCAGTGGCTCTTCCCGGATGAAAGGCGGTAGCACCACCAAGATTCTGCTGGAAACCCTGCTGCTAGCGGCCCATAGGACTGTGGACCAGGGTGTGGTGGCCTCTAAAAGGTATGGAGGAAGCAGACAAGCTGGGCATCAGATCCACACCGTGGTGACACGGGGGAAGAGATGGGAGGTCCTAGCTCCTAAGACTCACATAGGCTAGAACCCAGCCTGCTGTGACTTCCTTTCCCTACTAGAGTCTCTGGCCCAGCTTCTAGAATGCTCAAGTCCACCTTCCTCTTGGCTTTTGTTTTTCCCACTGCAGCCCTTTTTTAATAGAATCCTTTCTGCTCTTATTAATGGGGATCTTTCTCCCTCCTCCTTCCCCTGCTTTCCTCCAGAATGGACTAGCAAAACCTTTTAAAAATGGGAATTGTGACATCCCCTAGGTGTGGGTAGGAGTACCTAGCTCTTTTGGGGGCGGGGGCACCATGCCCTTCTCAGGAGCTAGTGAATTTTCTTCCAGATGCCTTCGGGACATCCTGAGGACATTTGAGCGGGCTCATCAGGTGACCTACAGTCAAAGTTCCAAAGTTGCCACCCTGATGAAACAAGTCAGCACCAGGTATATGACTGTGTGTTTGCAGAGGGCATCCTGAAAGTAGGGGATACTTTGTGAGATGTGTTAGCGTGGCAAGGGTGATGGGTCCGCACATTGGAAGGTCTTGGGTGTGTTTACTCTCGTGTTATTCTGCGGCCTCTTTTCACGGTGGTCATTCGTGTCCTGGCCTCTGACTCATTCTCAGCCTGGAGAAGAAAGGCCGAGTGTACTTAGTTGGCTGGCAGACCCTTGGCATCATCGCCATCATGGATGGGGTAGAATGCATCCACACCTTTGGTTCTGATAGGCCCTAGTCCTGATGCTCTCCCAGCCCATTGGGATACATTAGCAAAGCATTTTCCCACAACCCCTGCCCCCACCGAGGTTCTCCAGTGCCCGCCCATACTGCCCTACATAAAGAGGCATTTCGGTCAAATGCTTTCATCACTTGAAGCCCCAATTGCCACCTCGGTCCTTGATCTCTCAGGTCCCACCCCAGTGCTTTAATTGTAGCTTCCCACACATCCCACTTCCTGACCCATGACAACCCTTGGATTAGAACCTTTCTATCCTCCAAAGCCCACTGTTCTTTTCTCTCTCATCTTAAATTTCCCAGATTTCCAAGATGTCCGTGGCTTTCTCATGGGTGACCACAATGACATGTTTAACCAGAAGGCAGAGCTCACCAACCAGGTCCGAAGAGGACAGGACTTGGGAAGCTGTAGAACTCATGGGTGTGCAGAGGGCAGTAGAGGGGTGGGGTCTGGGATGGAGGGAGGATGAGGGGGTAAACAGCCTGGAGCCTCAAAGCGCTGCGGTATGGAAGGCTCTGGATTTACCCTCAAAAACTCAGCTTTAATCTACTGACCTGCTACGTCACCTTTGGTAAAAAAATGCTACCATTTTGAACACTGGTTCTTTTCAAGTGAAGTCCAAAGGACTGTAATAGATGTCCCCCTAAGGTCTCCTAAGGTCTTCAAGTCTGTGCTCTTGAGCGTCCTTCTGGGAGGAGCTCCCCTATCTTCTTCTGCCCCAGGGTCCCAAGTTCACTTTTGCCCAGGAGGACTTCCTGACTGCCATTCTGCCATCCCTTGTGGAAACTGACACCGTGGTCTTCATTTTCACCCTGGATGGTGAGCGGGAAGATGGGACCAGTGGCGCTGAAAGCAGCAGCGGTTTAGAGGGGCTGCCACTTCGAGTCTCAGGGTGCCTTGTCAGAGGAAGGGTGTCTTAGTTAGGGTTGCTGTTGTGATAAACACCAATACCAGCCTGGATAGGGAAGGTTTTTTGTTTGTTTTTTTAGCCTTACAGTTTATAAGTCTATCACTGAGGGAAGTCAGGGCAGGATCCTAGAGACAAGACCCAGAGCAGAATCTGTGGATGAATGCTACTTACTGTCTGCTCCTCATGACTTGCCCAGCCTGCTTTCTTATTGCCCTCAAGACCACCAGCCCAGGGACAGCACCATCCATAGTGAGCTGTGCCCACTAATAATCAATCAAGAAAATGTGCCACAGGCTTGCCCGCAGGCCATTCTGGAAGGGGGAATTTTCTCCATAGAAGTCCCCTTTTCCACAAATGATTCTGGCTTGGGTCAAGTCGATATAAAAGAGAGGGGCAGAGGGAGTGTCCTGGCAGGACCCCAGGGTGGCAGGAAAAACAGCGTCATAGATCATCCTTTTAACTCGGATGCCTCCTGTCCCATCCAGATAACCTCGCAGAGGTCCAGGCATTGGTGGAGCAGGTGAGAGAGAAGACCACGAACACCCAGGCCCTGGTGCATGGCACCGTGGGGCAGTCCTTGCCTGTGAGTGTCCAGCAATGGGGAGAAGATCTGGGTGTGATACAGCCTAGGCCTTCTGGAACACAGCACCCCCGTTTATCTCTTTCTCCTCAGGCCCCTCTAAAGAGGCTCTTCCCCTCCATCAGCAGCATTACATGGCCACTTCTTTTCTTTGAATATGAAGGAAGCTATGTCCAGGTAGGCGGAGATGAGAAGGCAATGCCTGCTGGAGAGGAGCCCGCACCCTCCAAAAAAACCCCAAAGCTAGATGGGAAAAAGCCTAAATATCTGTTGATCTTCTTTCCTCCCCAAGCTTGGAAAATTCTCAAATTATCAGGTCTCTAAACAGAGTTGCCAAGGCAACAGGGTTCATTTCTTTCTAGGAGCACACTGAAAGGACAAGACAGACCACCAATCACCACAAGCTTATTTGTTCTCTGGGACGGGTTAATTGTTGATACTGAAGTCGTTATCACCACCCTAAAGTGTCTAAGGCTCTTTTTTTTTGCACGGCACCCTACGCTGAACACAATGCAGCTCTGACTACAATGGAGCCCTGTGCAATAGTGAAATTATAATCAGGAGACACACTGAGAGGCATCATAGACATCGTAAGAAGTTTGTGTGCATTTTGCAGTTTGGTTTGGAGAGGGCACCAGGAAATCTGGGTGCCAATTCAGCTCTACTGAGTGTCCCAAGAGAGAAAACAAGTTCATATCTCTGGGTCTTTTCTCACAGTTGACCACCCACCTTTCATGGGGCGAACCAGGGCCCAGAAGGGATGCTGTGGGGGAGGTGTACTCTTCCATCTTTATTCAACCCACTTCCTTCTGGAAGCTTTCAGACAGAGCCAGGACACGGCCTCCCTGAACCCAGAACTCTTTAAAAAAAAATTATTTATTTATTATGTACAGTGTTCTGCCTGCATTTGTGCCTGCAGGCCAGAAGAGGGCACCAGAGCTCAGTACCGATGGTTATGAGCCAGCATGTGGTTATGGAGACTTGAACTCAGAACCGCTGGAAGAGCAGCCAATGCTCTTAATGCTGAGCCATCTCTCCAGAGAGAACCCAAAGGTCTTACATAACTGCCTCTCCCTAGTGGAGAACCCACGCCCCTCTGTCCTTCGCTCTAAATGGCGTTCCTGTGTCCTATCCCTACTTATTGGCACAGTCCCCACATTCAATGTTCTCTTCTGACATTGCCTGCTTTTGAAAAAGTCTTCTCTGATTAACTTGACATTGTCTATTCTTCTCCACACTTACACAATCCTGATGCTAAATACAAATATAGCTCTTTATACCCTGTGAATGTTTCATATATATTAACTCAGTTCTCATAGCAATCTCCTAAGGCACGTGTGCTCAGTTTCACCATCTCTCTAGCCCCTTCTTTCTGCTTTCTTCCTCCCTCCCTCCCTTCCTCCCTCCTTCCTTTCTTTCTTCCTTCTTTCTTTGTTTTGTTTTGTTTTCTGTTTTTCAAGACAGGGTTTGTGTGTGTGTAGCCCTAGCTGTCCAGGAAATGGCTTTGTAACCTAGGTTGGCCTTGAATTCACAGAGATCTGCCTGTCTCTGCTTCCTGAGTGCTGGGATTAAAGGTGTGTACCATTATACACGGCTATTTCTGCTTTGAATTTTATTTAAATTTTGTCTATTAAATTCAAATCTATTAGTTTTTTCCCTTGTGGTTTTCAATCTTTCACTTGATGCTGCCTTCATCCTTCCATATGGAATTGTCTGAAAAACGTAGGTTTCCATTGGCACTGTGTCCTCGTGTGCTTTCTGTTGCTATGATGGGAACTGAGCGAAAACAACATGGAAGGGTTAAGACCCTTCATCCTACACTTTTCGGTCTATTGTTTCGGGGAGTCAGGCAGGATCTCCAACAGGAAGCAAGAGCGGAGGTGGGACCGAGAAGGAAACAGCTTCCTGGCTTACTCTTCATGCTCCATTTTCTTTCTTATATTCTATTACATTTTACTGTGTGTGTGTGTGTGTGTGTGTGTGTGAAGGAGCTGGCTCTCTTCTACCTTGTAGATCCAGGGGATTGAACTCAGATGGTCAGCAGGCACCTCTACCCACTGGGCAATCTCACCAGCTCTCGGCCTGCTTTCTCATACAACTCACAACAACTTGCTCAGGGGTGGCATCAGCACACCAGAGTGGGTTGGGCCCTCCCACATCAGTCATCAACCAGGACAGTGCCATATAGACATGCCCATGGGCCAGTCTGATGGAGGCAATTCCCCACCGGAAGTCTCCCTTCCTAGGTGACTCCTGTGTGTGTCAAGTTGACAAAAACCACCACAGAGTTGATTATCTTTGGTTGTAGAAATATTTTTGATACTGTAATGGTCTTCACTTTTTTTGTTTTTTGTTTGTTTTTTGAGGCAGGGTTTCTCTGTAGCTTTGGTGCCTGTCCTGGAACTAGCTTTTGTAGACCAGGCTGACCTCGAATTCACAGAGATCCGCCTGCTCTGCCTCTCGAGTGCTGAAATTAAAAGTGTATGCCACCACCACCTGGTGGTCTTCACTTTCTAAAAAACAATATTTTATTTTATGTACATTGGTGTATGTCTGTGTAAGGGTGTCAGATCTTGAAATTACAGACAGTTGTGAGCTGCCATGTGGGTGCTGGGACTTGAACCTGGGACCTATGGAAGAGCGGTTAGTGCCCTTAACCACTGAGCCATTTCTCTAGCCCTGGTCTTTGTTTTTAATTTGAAACATTTTGCCTTCCTCCCCAGTCCTTTGCCACATTTACTTCATCCCCTTTGTTTCTCTTGCTCACCCGAAAGATAAGTGAATCTATCTTATATTTCACACTACACCAGGCAGAGTGGCACATACCTATAATCCTGGCATTTGGGAGAGGGGGGAAGCAGAAGAAGAATCAGGAAGAGTTCAAGACTATCCCTAGCTACATACTGAGTTTGAGGTCACCCTGAGTTACATGAAATCCTGTCTCAAAAAACCAAAACAAAACAAAAATCCAAAAAACCAAAACTCACACCAATCACTTCATAATACACGTGCTACTGGCAAGGGCATCTGCTGCTGTCAGAACGATGTAATTATCCATGCTGGGAATGACAGTTAATCTGATACCATTACCTAAGTTCAGATTTCCAGAGATGTCCCTGGGGAGGCTGTTATTCTCCAGACCTGGAATCCAATCAAGGATAATCTCCTGACTTTAGCCAGTAGGTCTCTCGGCTTTCGCTTAACAGTCTTTTGGTTTGGTTTGGTTTTTTTTTTTCCTTGTCTCTCTTGACATTGATATTTTTGAAGTCTAGGCAAATCTTTCCCCAGAGTCACCTCACATTTCCAGCACATACAAACAACTTGCTGTATTGTTTCTTCGTCATATTCAGGCTTATGTTTTCAGTTTTGTTTCCTTTTGGAGGAGACTGGCATGTCACATTGGGTGTCGCCTGGCATCTGTTTGTCTCTTCCTTGGCGAGGCTATGGTGGCTTCTTCAGTGGTGGTGACGGCTGCTATGTTTCTTTGCATCCTGTCACCCAGCTGTCCGTACCCACTGTGTTCGCATCTGCTGCTGATTTCTGCCTGGCTCAATTGTTCCCGTGGTGACTCTCAAATGGCGATTTTCTATTTCTAGCCTTCTTCCTTTTATCTATATTCATTAATTGGCTTTCTTCTCCGAGGAACTTCCTATGCGCTCCCCACCCCATCTGTATTTGTTTAATGTCATTATGGACTCATGAATTTTCTGTTGTTTTTAAATGTTTAGATTTATTTTTTTATTTTAAAGACAGGGTTTTTATGTAGCCAAAGCTGGACTAGAACTCATTATATACCCCAGACTGGCCTTGAACCCATAACCCTCCTACCTCAGCCTCCTGAACACTGGGATTATAGACATCTACCACCATGCTTTGATGGAGGAAGGTCATTGGCTAATAAAGAAACTGCCTCGGCCCATTTGATAGGCCAGCCTTTAGGTGGGTGGAGTAAACAGAACAGAATGCTGGGAGGAAGAGGAAGTGAGCTCAGAGGCCATGCTCCCCTCTCCCGGGCAGACACGATGAAGCAAGCCGCCAGGTCAAACATGCTGAATCTTTCCCGGTAAGACTGGTGCTACACAGATTACTAAAAATGGGTTAGGCAAAATATGAGAATTAGCTCGTAAGAGGCTAGAGCTAGTGGGCCAAGCAGTGTTTAAATGAATACAGTTTGTGTGTTGTTATTTCGGGGCATAAGTTAGCTGGCAGCCAGGAGCCGGGCTGTGGGAAGAGGCCCACAGCTCCTTCAACACACCACCACACCCTAATAGATTATGAATCTGAATGTCTTGTATCCAACAGTCTCCGTCAGTTTATCCTGGGGTAATTCCAGTATTTGGGAAGATGAAGTAGGAGGCGCAATCACAAGTTCAGGGTCAGCCTGGGTGAGCTCCTGTCTCAAAACCAAACATAACAGAAAGCAAACAAAGAAATCAGCCACAGCAACAAAACAAAAAGCCACAGGACAATCAAGTCCAGTGAAACCCTGATTTGAAAAGCTGATTTTTAAACTCTCAATACAGGAACAGCCCTTGAAAATGTGTGATCTGGCAGTCTGACTTTTCCTCTAAGAAAAATCAAGCCTGGCAACGTGTTAGAAATAATCTTTTCTTTTTCTTTTTAAGGCATTTGAAGTCAGTGCCTCATAGCCAGCTATAGCTACCACCACTTCCCTGTCTCTAGGAAGCCCTTGAAAGAATTGCTCCCTGTGACATAACACGCACACGCGCGCGTGCACACATACTCACACACTGTATTGGTATCTACCTAGTTTCCTGGCACACAGCTCCTACAATGCTGGGAATCCCCATTGTGTGCACGTCCTTTCATATGCTATTGAGGTGATGGATACAGCTCCTGGGTAGCCTCAGTGTGACGGGCAGGTTACCAGGGAACCAGTTCTATGGTTAGAGTCTTGGAAATTTCAACTTGGTTCCCCGCCCAACTTGGAGAGCAGAGAAGAGTTGGAGGTTCAGTGAATAATAGTTTATCCTGCCTGGCCAGGAGGTGGTGGCACACCCCTTTTGCTCTAGCACTCAGGAGGCAGAGGCAGGAAGACCTCTGTGTTCAAGGACAATGTGGTGCACATAGTGAGTTCCAGGACAACCAGGGATACACAGAGAAAGCATCTCTCAAGCAAACAAACAAACAAACAAACAAACAAAAATAGTCAATCA